GAGCGTTTGCCCGGGCACGCAAATCCCGGTGGCAGTGCTCCGTTTTCTTTTTGCCGCTGAGCCAGGTGAGCCCTTGGGCGATGGCCCGGTACATGCATGAGCCGTCCTTGTCGATCTCAATGATTTTGCACCCCTCGGGGGCCTCGCGCTGGTTCAGGGCCCTATTCTGGGCTGGGGAAGTCTCCTTGCCCTTGTCGTCGAGGACGGCGGGCTGGTGCGCCTTGACAAGTTTTCCATCCAAGGGCGAGGCCGTGGCAGGAAGAAGTGGCACCGGGGCAGGCTTCAGGAAGTGCTGCTTGTTGCCCTGTGGTCTGTGAGGAGCAACCTGGGCCCAAAGAGTCATCTCGCCTGGTGTGTCCGTGCCATCGTCGACAGTAGCCTGCAATGGCACCACGTCTTTGTCTCCATATCGGTGCGTCCCTCGGAACCTGTAAAGGAACTCCCGGCCGGTCCGCCTGTTATGGATGAGGGTCACGGCATCGAAAGCCTGTGCCAAAACGGACTTCACCTCCTCAGGCCCCCAATCACCAGGAACATGAGGAAAATTCCAAACCCGAGCAATGGCTTGTGCCGGGTCTCGAGTGGTTCTGGCGCCGATTCGCCCACCCTGCGCAACCAAGCCCAACAAAGGCGACATGCGCAAGCCGCGCTCGTGGTAAGCACTTGCGGCCTCGTCAGTGCCCTTGGCCACGAGGCGGGTCCAAGAAGACGCCTTCTCTGCCGCTGGCAGCTAGGAGACTTGTCAAGTCCTTCTTCGGGATTCGGGCCTTCCCGAACAGCTGCCGGCCGGAACGGCCATGCGACTCCTCCAGCCAGGACCAGGTGTCGGAGAGGAGCACCTTCTGACCCGCAGCCCATTTGGCAATCGCCCGGGTCGGGTTCGTACGAAAAACCTTCCATTTCTCGGGGCTCAGGTAAGCCTCTGGAATGCGGATAGAGATGGTGCAGGTCTCGACCGGGGCCACCTTGACCGCAACAGCCTTGTGCCCGGCATACCCTGCAGCAGCCTTGCCCGCCGACTGGATCTGGACGGTCTTGGCCTGTCGGAAGCGAAGCATGTTGCCCACACGGCCTGGGATGCGAGTGGGCCCGTCTTTGGACAGCTCGATGAGCATGACACGGTGAGGCTTAGAAGTGCCACGCAGAATCGTGGCGACCTTCTCGAGCTCGGCCTTGGAAGCCATCACAACTGCCTCCAGGGTGGCATCAGCTGCCAGCTCGTCCAGCTTCTTGCCCACCCCTGTGTGGGGAACGATCGGAGCATCCCAGTCCTGAGCTCTGAGCTCGAAGGGCTCTGAGTCCCTTCTCGACACTTGTTGCCAGTCATCGGCATCCCCGTGCTCCCCGGTGGCCGGGGCATGTGCTGTGGAGGGAGCAGCGCTGTTGGCACCTGCCCCTTTGCCCTTGCGTGGTGGAGCGGTCGCGGCAGGAGTGCCACGGCCGCGGCCCGACTCAACGGTCGATGTCTCCGGCTGCTTGCGCTTGTTCTCCTTACCCGCCCCTTTGTGCTTCTTGGCCCGGGGCTCTCCTGACTCATGTTCCCGGCTGGCTGCCGGCCCTGGTCGGGTGGTCGCTGGCAGTTGGCTAGCCAAGGCTGACTCCACTGCTTTCCGAACCAACTCGGTGATCAAAGGCATCAGCTGAGCTGTCAAACCCTCAAGTAGACCCTCGAGTCCGGTGGGCCCACCTCCACAGCGCAGCAAAGGAATCTGTACCTGCAGGTCGCGTTCACGGCAGCTGCGCTCCGGCTGAGCATAGCCCAACTCTGGCAGGAGGCACACGGGTACCCCGAGGGGAGGGGGCCTAAACCCTACAGCGCAAGGCGGGGAGGGAGCAGGCTCACGCAATTCGGGGGGCCGTCGGCTTGAACCCGAGCTCGGGCGAAATAAGGCGGCCTGCGATGCATCCTGAGACACGGGTACCCCTAAGGGCAAGGACTTAGACCCAACTAGGGGGGAGAGGGGGCAGGCAAGGCCAGACACACGGGCCATCATCTCCTCCGTCTCCTCCGTCCCAGAAGTCCCAGTCATTCGGGCTGGCTGCTGGAGGCGGCGGTCCGCTCCAGTCTGCTTGGCTCGGGGTTGCCCCGGGCGATTCGTGAACTGTATCGTCTTGCTCCTTCCAAGGGCCGGGACTCTTGCAGGAAACAGGGGCCTCCAATGGAAGCCCAAAGGCATGGTACTCATCCCACAACATGCTGTAGCAAGGCCATTTCCACTTACTTCGGGTGGACAAGGTGGCCTTGACTCGGCGACACTTCTCATGGTAGATTTCTGCAGCCAGACGCAAAACCAAGCGTCTGCCCTCAAGGATATCTGGTTCCATCCTAACAGCGTGGCAACCCAATCCACACTCGTGATGGTTTCGCTGCATCCCCAAACTGCAGGAGTCTCCATTAAGTAGAATTTGCATCACACGATAACATCGACGCATGCGATAAGTCCAGCCTTGGCCTCCAGACGAGGGGGCCATGTCGACAGGCAAAGAATTAGCCCTCCCCTTTGGGGGAGAAGGTTACCAGCTCAGCCGCGGGGAGGCTTCTTTCTTGAGCCATACAACTCAGGACGAGTGAAACCACTTCGGCCCAGCCACATGCCACTTCTTTGCCTGTGAGAGTCATTGCATCCGGAGTCTGGGGCTTTGCCTGCAGAGCTGGGCCAGTGTTATGGCTATTTCGAAAACTGAGACAACAAGAGTATGCCACAAAGTACTGCTTCAAAGGAACAGAAATCCTTAACCCTATGCCCGAGCACAACCATTGGGGTGGTTCTGTAAAGCAGGGTCGCAGCTAAGGTCTCTTTAATACGGGTGCCGTACCAAAAAGGGAGCCTACTTTCAATTAACCACCCATTGGTTGTCTTACCCGAAGACGCTCGACACTTGACCAGGCCATCCTGGGATATGATAAGGGCCTGTGTCGTTGCAACAGGTTCCGTTCAAAGGCTTCTATAAGGGTTCCTTCTATGGGTGCTATGAGGGGTCAGTATAGTGGCAGTTCTATTTAAAAAACAAGCTTTTGGTGACATATTCTACCGAAATTCGGCAAGCTAAAATCAAGACTATTCAGCTCTCCGACCCTCTGTTCAGCTTTCGACTACGGCTTGTGCATCCTTCAACTCTTCGGGTTCTTCTAACAGGGTGTGGGGGCTGGTGTGCTTGGATTTGGCAAAGACCAGGTCGACCAACCCTGGGCAAACTCGGAAAGGATCTATGACGAAGTCAAAGGAAACACCTTAGTCAGTGTCCCTTTGCCACGACGGCTTCTTGTACTTCGTATGCTTGCATCTAGGATCCGAGGATTTCAGGCTCATATTCAGAATCCCTGGATTTGCTGTTTTCTGACATAATCGCCTGCACAGAGCTTCTTGCAAACTGTGTCTTCTTGTGGATGAAGCACACCTGATCTGTGATCTGAGCAATTTTGTATCCTAGCCGCAGAAGAACGTTAGCCTGTGGCCTGGAGGGAGTTGAAGCTTCAGTTTGACATCGCATCTAATTTCAGCCGTGTGCGCTTTGTGCGCATGGCTGCAGGGACCGCGACGTCGGGTGTGCATTCACTGTTTAGGCGAAGCTTGAGGTTATGGATGCCTAACCTATCTGCCCTGTAGACATCTGCAGCCCGGCCTCTCTATGCTGACAGCTGTCACTAAAATCCAAAGATAGTAGAATCAAAACCTGCGGTCCCCTTGTTGCACAGCCTGGGACGCACCGAGCAGTTTTTGCTCCGTCCGGTCGCGGGACAGAGGCCTTTCCATTTTCAGGGTGCTACCTATAGTCTCCATTGTAGTTCCTTTTTGGATTTAAGCAGCTGTTGTTGGTTAGGACGGTTAGGAGCCGAACAACCAAAAGCGAAACTGCAATGGAGACCAAAGGTAGGCGGTAGGGTGTAGAGTTTCGGGTTCTAGCTGGTGGGCTCTTGGATCAAGGAAGGGGCCATAGGTTTGGACTCTTGGTTTCGCGCAAGGCTTTCAAGGGTTCACAACGACACGTCCACTCATCGAACTGGGAAGTTCCCGAATCCCAGAAGTAGAGTCAGCTAGAGCGAGCCTGCATGTTCTAAAGACGGCCCACTTCCAAGATAGGGTCACGGGTTAAGTTTGCACAGAATCTCAGGCGCTTTGGACACAAAGCAGACTTCTGCATCCCTTGGCAAACTTGCCCAAGGCCGCCTTCTTAATACCGACTCACAACTAAACTGACTTGTTAGGCCAAGCTGTCCACATGATTGTGGCCATGCAGTGCCAAAAAGCATCCTTCGTGAGATTCAGTCGGGTGGCCATGGCAGGCGGATTTCCGCTGCCGGGGTCCTCTTGAAATTGCTCCCTAAACCCGGTACCCTGAACCTTAAATTTTAAACCATAACTTATCATAAGCCCAATCCGAATCCTATACCCTAAATCCTAAACCCTAAGGGTCTAAGTCGTGCTTCAATGGTTCACGGGCTGCCGTCAGCAGCAACCGCCCATGACTTGCCAGGCGCCGTTACGCCCGATACGTACTACCGCCGAGCTTCCAGTGACTATAAGCCCCTTGGACTCAACAACTGCGAGACTCTTTTTTCACAAGCCCTTGCACAAAACACAGAAGGGAGATGATCCTTCATCAGGCGTCATAAATATACAAAAGTGAGATGGTCATTTAAAGGAACACCCCGGTGAAGTGGCGAAGCCTCCACTAGAGGTCTGGCAGAGGCGTGGTGACTTATTGCCAGTACTGCTGGGGTAACCTTCGGTGCAAACCCAAGGCGAGTTCAAAAGGGGGGGGGGGGTACATGTAGGAAAGGCTTTAGAGCGAAGCTTCACCTGGGTTAACTCGCTGGGGCTTCTGGTAAATGTCAGGTGACCCTCGCCTTACACAGAGAGCGAAAGGTGTGCACACATACTGCTAAGATCGAACACAATCCAAATCTGCAAGCCCTATCCATGCCCGCGAGAATCAGCATTGTAACACACACGCTGGGATGGTTCATCCGAGAATAGCTTCGGACACTGGGCTCTTGGCTAGAAGCTCACAAACTCCTCGGTTTCACTGTTGATTCTGGACGCTCCTCAGCGAAGCAAAACAGGCCGAGAAACCCTAGGCCCAGGACAGAAAACCTGGCACCAGAAAGCCGCACAGACTTAAGCCCTCTGACACCCTATGCCCTGAACGGGCCATGCCGGAACCCTTTTTGCAACAGGCCTCGTTGTCCAGCAGCCCGGTCTAGCCAAGCACACATTCCTCTAACCTACAGCTAACCCTAAACCCTAAACCCACTTGATCTCCTGACCCGAAGAATCTCGAAGTGACGATTTGTGTTTTACAGGGTGTAGGCTTTCGCGTTTAGGGCTGCTATCAGGGTGAGTATACGGGTTACTCTTTGGGGCGTCTCTGGGGTTTGGAGATGATTCCAGTGGAGTATAGGGTTTCAAAGTCAACCCTAAGCCCACAAGTCTGAATCCCATCTCTCAACAGTAACCCTTATAGAACCCCTGATCGAAGCCCTTACTGGAACCCTGCATAATCTAAAACCTTATAAATAGCACGCCTTAGAATCAGCGAAGATGGTGCCCATCTTTTCTGCTACTGGGGCGGCCTCCGCCTGCCTGGGGCCTTGCGTCGGTTTAGGTTTAGGGCAACCCCTCAACCAGACTCACACTGTTATATATATATATACACACATATCCACATCATGTAACTATAAAGTTTCATTTATACTGTCGAGTCTACAAGCGCAACGCGCATTAGACAAGTTTGGTTAAAGTTGGAAGACCTTAGGGGTAAGGCCGGGTCTACCTGGACCCGAAAACACCTACCTTCCAAGACTTAGACAATCAACAAAAGGTAGGTTATTTAGATTCAGGCAGGGTTTGGGACCCCCTCCCCGCAAACTCCCCCGAAACCCGAAACCCTAAACCCCCTTCCACCCCAACTGAGCCATCGTCCAGGTGGGCTGGGTGGTACACATTGCTCGGCAAGAATCCGAAATCCTGGCCACCACAGGTCTCTTAGGGTTTAGGGTTTAGGCTACCGCAGGTGTGTTAAGAGCAAGCACGCATTCCAGGAACAAGTCTCTGAGAACAACGGTTTTTGGGTTTAGGGTTTAGGCCAAGCCAAACCTGGTCCCAAACCTTACCCTAAACACCCTACGTCTTCAACCCTGAACTCAAACTCCAAAGTCCAGGCTCAATCGCCTATGTCCCAACCTTTGGGACTGCCCTAAGGGTTCCAGGGATCTTTAGGGGCTCCTCTAGAAGCCTGTCCACCCCGAAACCCTGCCCTGCGGGCAGCTCCATCCACTCTCAAGTTTGGCAAGCACAAGCCAGCTGTAGGCAAGAAACGATCCTCTATCTCATAGCTTCCTCCTGCCTTACATACATATGGGTAGTTTTCTAAAGTAGGGTCCCTTTTGGGGATGCTTTTTTATAAGGGTGCCGTACTATATTGGGGACCTAAAACGGGGACCCTAACCTAGAGAACTACCCATATCCTGCAAAGCTAAACTGACCGGAGAGTGATCGTTCAAGGCGCGGGTCCTTTCTGCAGCTTCTCCACCTTTCTCATCATGCCCTGCTGCTCTTTTATAACTTTCCTGGGAATCAGAGCTGATCCGACAGGCAAAGCTTACAGCGTAGTTTTGAGGGTTTCAGCACTCACAACTGGGACAAGCCTGGCGAGGCTTCGAGTACGTCGGTTAGCACATTGGCTGGGACAGCCTATTCACCATCCTAAAACAGTCCGAGACCAATTCAGATCCCACACCACAGGAACATCTGCACACTCTATCCACCTCAAGTTTAGGGTCTGGGCATGTCTATTGCTTAAGCTCGAGGAGTCTAGGCTTTAGGGTTTAAAGTTCAAGATTTGAACTTTCGATGGGGACTTGCCACCTTCCTTTCTCGAAGCCCCTACAAGCTCGACGAGACCACAAAGCTCGATTTACGTCTGACTACAACCCGAAAAAATCCCTGACTGAGGGCCGGGTTCAAGCTTTCTGGATTTCTGAGTGTCGCAACCTTGAGTATGTCGGGAGTGCAAAATCAATTCACTCTAATGCATTTAGTACATGAGCAGACAAGAGGCGGACAAAACACACACCCACCCACACACACACACACACAAACTATATATATATATATACATACCTATACCAATGGAAGGAACGAAGACGCTCCTGTGCCTGAGTGTCGCACTTCTGCGTATTCTTCTATCTTCACCAAGCCCCCTTAAACCCCTAAACTAAGCGCTGAGCAACCCTAATCCCTCTGCCCAGTGTGTCACTCTGTGCCAGCCGTGCTTCTGAAGGTCAAGGCTTTTGGCCGTACCTGCACATCAGCAAACCTATATGAAACCCATTCGGGTTTAGGTATAGGTTTGTGTGAAGGGGTGTTGGTGCATCCCGCCGAGCACGGACAGTGCCTGCCCCTGCACCCTAAACCCGAAGACCAAGAATCTGAAAGGGAGCGGACCACCTTTACGAAGTGCTTTGACGCGAATCCTTGAATCTCCGACGGTCCCGACTCCGACAACGACTCTGTTTAAGGTACAAGTAGGGGTCTTCTTTGGGCGGTATTTCAACTATGTTGCATTAAGGACTGGAAGGGGATCTCATTATGAATTGTTCCGGCCTCTGTCTTGAGGTCTTATGTTCAAAAGCTCGGAAGAGAAGCCTCCTCTGCCTCAACTCATGGGCTGAAGATTCAGGGATCTGACTTAGTTGGAATTTTGCATAAACTTGAAGAACACCATGTCCTCAGATCATGTCGAGTGAGGCCTTGCAGCTTTGCCACACCAAGTACCAACTGCTCTGCAGTGAGTCCACCGCTCTTGTCTTTGGCATTGTCCTGCAGAAAACCGGCTTGGGTTTCGAGATTTCGGTCCTCGAATTGCTGAGGGATTGGTTGTCAGGCAACTTCCCAGATTTACCCCTAAACCCGCTTCACAAGGGATTCGACTGCACTCCAACACCCTGAGTACTAAATCCTCAGCCCTAAAGCTCCACTCTTCGCCTAAAGAGCCTTACGAAAGGAAGCGATACGGGAACTCATGTGACGACAGGATGAGAGGTCATCGATGTTTCGGGCTTTCTTGAAAACACCGGGCACCCGTTTAACAAGCTAGGGCAGCTAGGGCACTCAGTCTTCGAAACTCCGCGTCATTGAGCTTGTATCCCAAAACTTTCTACAAACCATGAACCCCAACCCTAAACCCTAAACCCCAACCCCAGGTCCCGAACACAAAACTTCAACGGCCGCGCATATCACAAAGGCCCTCAGCGCAGAAATTACTGGCCATATGCGTGCCCAAAGTATGCCAAACCCGTCCCTTCATAAGGGTAGATCAAAAGGGCCCTCAAAAACGGAGAACTTACTTGTCAGGTCTGCATTGCCCAGCATAATCTAAAGATTGTATACTGTATGTAGCATTGTGAAGAAGAAAAGTTCAAACCTCATATTCCAAACCATGAGTTTTGTTCGACACAAAGCACGACCAACGAAACGATATTTGCGATGGTAGGCAACCATGTGAATATAGAGAACAATAACGAAAACGACGGAGTGACCATGCATACTTCGTCAGCCAGAACTCGAAGCCAAACATGACAATTCCCCAAGCACATGACGAACATGAGGGTCATGCCTTGTCTGCGAGTGGTGTTGACCCCATGTACTCTAAGGATCAAAAACCGAATCTGAAGCCCTCTGACTGTAAGCCAGAGCACCTAAGCTGGCCACAGAGCCTTCCGTGTTCAGTAGGTATCGCCTCGTAAAGCCTTCAATCCATTCCCGAGGTAGACCACGGACCAAGCCCCAACCTCGCCAACTGTATCATCCGGTTTTTGCAACCCTCCTTCCCTCCCTTCCCTCCCCTCCCCTCCCTCCCTCCCTCCCTCCCTATCTATCTATGTATAAATATATAATATAGTATAATATAATATTATGTTATATTATATATATATCTCTCTCTCTCTCTCTGTCTCTCTCCGTCTCTGTCTCTCTCAGTCTCGAAGCGTCAGCTGCGTGTTGGTAGGCAAGCAACTATGCCGCCTTCCCTGTCGCTACAAAAGAAGATGTAACAATGTAACAAAACAGCTGTGCCAACGATAATTTATGTTGAAGACCGTTTAGGCTAAACATCTTCCTCATCCCAAAACCCCAAAACTCGTAAACCCTTAAGCCCTTTTTTTGGATCTGGACTTGTGCAAAAAGCCCCAAACCCTTCAACCCTTAAACTCTTAAACCCCCAAGCCCTGAACCCCTTCTACAGTAAATCACCCACTTCTTTCAAACTCACATCCGAGGGCTCTCCCTCCTGCAAGAGGTCCCAGGCTTCACCGACATCCTGGATGTCCTGCGTCTCTTAAGGTTATAAGGTTTTTTCTAGGGTTTAGGGTGTTTGGGGTTTGAGTTTGAGGATGTAGGCATTGGGATTTCGGGTTTTAGGGCTTCGGATTTAGGGCTGTCAACTCGGTCGAGCGAGGCGAAGACTTCAGGCGACGACGACAACAATAACGACTTCTTCGGGTATAAGATTTCGGGGCCTGGGGGTTTAGGTCCTTTCAACAAATATTTTGCAAATCGACAAACAGCTCGATTATGACCCACTGAATACTGAAGCCAAGAAGCTAAAATTAAGCTTCGCCGCATTCGAGTTTTGGGCTCGCAAATAGACGGTGCAGCATTCGGGTCTGGGCTGGCAGACAGAGGACGCCGCAGCATGTTGGGAATGGACCACCGAAACCCCCCCCCCCCCCACAATTTTCAGCTCAATGCGTGCGATCGCTGCTAGAATTGAATGCAATAGCTGATTTTACTCTGTTGCTTTCAATATCGGCGACGACAAAGGGGCGATAGCTAGAGCCTCTGCAGCTATCCGTGACATGGCAGCAAGTTGGTCCCAGAAGGATCTGGGCTGGGGTTTACGGTTTGCAAGG